GTAATTTACTATATCTTCAGAGGACCTTCCAGCTGATTCCCTTTTACCCAGACAGTGGACTAAATAGATTTCTAGTTTAAAGTTTCATTGCGTAACTTTTGCCGTGGAGAGTCCGTCAGAAGCTTTTCTTTGAGGAAATGTTATCACTTTGTCGACTAGCATGCGAACACATACTTCCTGATTAGTGGACACCAAAAAAACGCGTTACAATAAAAACAATTGCTCAAATACTTGGGGAAAATGGGAACATTTACAGTCCCTTTTAAAATAAGAATGGAATAAATCGAAACTCAAAAAATGGAAAATAGTTAAAAACGTAACTTTTTTTTTGCAAATTTGTTTATAAATTGGATAAAACGTTACGTGATATGCGAATTGTTTTGTTTTTAGGCAGTTATTATTCAAGGTGCGTCGTGTAACTTTTCTGTTTTTTCAAGGTCCGTCAAATGTTTTTTTTCCGAGGAGATGTTATTGTTTGGTCTGGAATGTTCCGCAGTACGGCTTAAACCTTTTTTTTATCTTCACGGAGACCAGACCAGACCAAGTTACAGGTCAGATCTGTGGAGAGGCGACGCTGCTCACAGTCAGAATGTTTGTTTTTCGATGTATTTTTGAGCTTTAAAACCACCTGTAATCGTTTAAATGCAAAGTAGAGCTGTTTAAAGTCACACTGTGGAACATTTTAGGCGTATCCATAGAAACAAGAAGTTGACAGACCCCGAACCGAAACATAAAAGTTAAACACACTGCGCCTTGAAATGATAAATAGCGAGACATGAGGTGTTTCTTGGAGCGAGTTCCTGGTGCGGTTTGAGACTCTGGGACTTTTCATTTTGTTCATTTTGTTTTGGGTTTTATTATCTGATGAAAATGTCAGTTTAAGTCGAAGAAAATGTCCACTTTTGGTCATATTTTTAGTCATTATTTATATTTAATGTAATAGAGACGTAATAATATCTGACTCTCTGTGTATTTTTTATGAGTTTTTGCGATTTCAGCCGAAGAGGGTTGAAAAAATAACTTATATGACTCACTGTAGATGTTTTATAACTCTTTTTGTAAAGCTGCACTGCGTAACTTTTCGATTAGGCGTCCGTCACGTCGTTGCTCTGCCTGGAATGTTCCGCAGTGTCACATTAAAGAGCTCTACTTTACATTTATTCAATCCCAGGTGGTTTTAAAGCTCAAAAATACAGAGAAAAACAAACATTCTGACTGTGAGCGGGGTCGCCTCTCCGCAGATCTGACCTGTAACTTGGTCTGGTCTGGTCTCCGTGAAGACAGAGAGGTTTAAAGCCGTACTGCGGAACATTCCTGAAACATTTGACCTGCTTTGTTAGTGTAATATAACGTGATGTGTGAGCTACAGTGTTTGTGGATCAATAAAAAGAAACATTTGACGGACCTTGCGCCAGAAAAGTTACACAATACAGCTTTAAGAAGTGCTTTTTCGGTGCTTTTTATTCTGGTCAGATTGTGTTAAAACGAGGCAAAACTTGAGTACGAGAGCTTCAGACAGAGTAGTGCTTTCTGTTAGCGTCAGGGAACGTTGACGAAAGCTGCAAAATGTCAATTTTCGTACTGTGTGTATGTGCCGTTACTCCCTCTTTTCTCCCTCCCTCCTCTCCTCTCTCAGGTGTTCTTACATGCTCTTCTTCACTCTCTTCTCCCTCCCTCCTCTCCTCTCTCTTACACGCTCTTCTTCACTCTCTTCTCCCTTCCTCCTCTCCTCTCTCTTACTCTTCTTCACTCTCTCTCCCTCCCTCCTCTCCTCTCAGGTGTTCTTACTGCTCTTCTTCACTCTCTTCTCCCTCCCTCCTCTCTCTCTCTCTTACATGCTCTTCTTCACTCTCTTCTCCCTCCCTCCTCTCCTCTCTCTTACACGCTCTTCTTCACTCTCTTCTCCCTCCCTCCTCTCCTCTCTCTTACACTCTTCTTCACTCTCTTCTCCCTCCCTCCTCTCCTCTCTCTTACACTCTTCTTCACTCTCTTCTCCCTCCCTCCTCTCCTCTCTCTTACATGCTCTTCTTCACTCTCTTCTCCCTCCCTCCTTTCCTCTCTCAGGTGTCCTTACATGCTCTTCTTCACTCTCGTCTCCCTCCCTCCTCTCTCATGCGTTTTTATATACTCTTCCTCCCTTTCTTCTCCCTCCCCCTCTCCTCCTCTCAGGTGTTCTTATCTTTTCTCCCTCCCTCCTCTCTCTTTGCATTTTTATATACTCTTCCTCCCTGTCGTCTCCCTCCCTCCTCTCCTCCCTCAGGTGTTCTTATCTGCTCTTTCACACCGTTAGTTTGATTATTTGTTCCGCATCAGGCAATAAATGTATTATTATGTAGTGTATAGACTCCGGCGTGTTCCTTTCACACCTGCGAACGTCCAGATCTGCACGTAGGGAGACGAAGGCGGACGGGCCCCAGCCGCGGGAGTGGGGTGCTCCCGATTGACGGCAAAGCGACCCGCAGACGGGCGTCGTCCCGGGATGATCAGTTTGTCCCGCAATTCACATGAGTTCTCGCAGCTGCCGTTCTTCGTCGATTCACGAGCCGAGTGAGTCACAGAGTTGTTTGTTTATCTCAGTTTGGGTTTGGGTTGAGTCCAAACTCTCCGACAGCGTTGGTTTGAAGCGTCTGGAGACAACGCGACCCCCGGACCGCGCCGGGCTTCGTTGTATTTCCTCATGTCGGGCCCGGAGGTTGTGCTCGTGCAGACTCTTTGAAGCGAACAACGGGAGCCTGCTTCTTATTGGGAGCCGTGTTTTCTCTTTTTCTCACTTTTTCTCTTCATGCCGCATGTCGACCCGTAGTTTGACAGCAGCAGCGGCTGAAAACGAAACTTTCAGAAATCTGCGTGTGCATAGGATAAAAAAAAGTGCATATTTGGCTGCAGTTCAGCATAAAATGAATAAACCAGGACTAATCTTGGGCTCGAGTGCAGGAGAAAGATAGAAACCGAGTCCCGACATTCAGTCCTGGTTCAGTTCTGGTTTAGTCTGTTTCAGTCCTGGTTCTCAGTTCTGGTTTAGTCCTGCTTGCAACAAAACAATCTCAAGAGTTGCTTGGGAGCCGAAAGAGCCAGCTGCTTTAGTGAGCCGAGCCGGTTCTCCAAAAAAAAAAAAAAAAAACTGGAATACCCATCACTAGCAGTAACAGTAACAGTAGCTAGAATGTGATGCAAAAATGCCATTAGGCCAATCTACTGTCTGTAAATATGATGTAAAGAGTCAAAATAACAATAAATGTTGCCTAAATAAACCCAATTTAGAATCCACTACAGCCAAACCTAAGTTTTTTAATCAATTCAAGATTTACAGTGAATTTTTACATCACTAAATATATCGGCGATTATATCGGCTATCGGCAGCCCCAACTTTTCATTATATCAGTTTCATATCGGCCACAACAAAATCCATATCGGTCGGGCTTTATTCACGAGGGCTTGAATTTCTTCAGTGGCTCACGTTTGGTCACGGTTCAGGGTTCGCCCCTCGTCTTCTTCACTCATCACAAACAGGAAAGTACATAATTAGTTTCCCCTTTCATGACGCGTTTGGTTCGGACCTACTTTCTCTGGTTTGGACCTGAGTTGGCTTCTCACCAGAGGAACCACACCAGAGTCTGGCATTTGTTGCGGAGTGAAGCGAGACCTCAAGAAAGAGGGGGTCTCGTTCCTCTAGATTAAGTCTGCGTTTATTTGATAACGACGCAAAAGTGGCTTCGTGTCTTCACTTTTTATTCCGTGTTTAGACGAGCGTTTTCAGGAGGAAATCTGCGTGCACACGGTGACGCAGAAGTGTGTGGAATTGGATTGTGTTTGCGTGTCAGGTGACGAGGTGGTGACGCTCGGTGGTGATGTCTGTGACGTAAACACTTACACGACCTGAGCAGATGTGACCAGAGTTTTGCGTCTTGGACAGTGTAGACGGAAACACTGCGGCGGAGTTCAACTTTTCCACACTGGACGGTGGTTTCAGATTGTTGCGTTTTTAAGCCCCAAAAACATCATCACCGTCTAAAGGAAAGCCATTTCCAATCAAATATTTTGCAGTTTTTACTCGTGTTTCGTGTAAACAGGGACTTAAGCTTTTACTCCCACGAAAACAACTAAGAGCTTCTGGTTTATGCTCTTACTCCCTCTCTTCTCCCTCCCTCCTCTGTCAGGTGTTCTTTCATGCTCTTCCTCACGCTGTTCTCCCTCCCTCCTCTCCTCTCTCAGGTGTTCTTTTATGCTGTTCCTCACGCTGTTATCCCTCCCTCTCTCCTATTCAAGTGTTCTTTATGCTCTTCTCACTCTGTTCTCCCTCCCTCCTCTCCTCTCCCAGGTGTTCTTTCATACTCTTCCTCACTCTGTTCTCCCTCCCTCCTCTCCTCCTCAGGTGTCATGCTCTTCCTCACGCTGTTCTCCTCCCTCCTCTCCTCTGTCAGGTGTTTTTTATGCTGTTCCTCACTCTGTTCTCCCTCCCTCTCTCCTCCTCAGGTGTTCTTTTATGCTCTTCCTCACGCTGTTCCCCTCCCTCCTCTCCTCTCCCAGGTGTTCTTTGCTGTTCTCACGCTTCTCCCCCTCCTCTCCTCCTCAGCTCTTTCCTCACACTGTTCTTCCTCCCTCCCTCCTCCCTCAGTGTCTTTTATGCTCTTCCTCACGCTGTTCTCCCTCCCTCCCTCTCCCTCTCCCAGGTGTTCTTTCATGCTGTTCCTCACGCTGTTCTCCCTCCCTCCTCTCCTCTCTCAGGTGTTCTTTTATGCTGTTCCTCACGCTGTTCTCCCTCCCTCCTCTCCTCCCTCAGGTGTTCTTTTATGCTGTTCCTCACGCTGTTCTCCCTCCCTCCTCTCCTCTGTCAGGTGTTCTTTCATGCTGTTCCTCACGCTGTTCTCCCTCCCTCCTCTCCTCTGTCAGGTGTTCTTTCATGCTGTTCCTCACGCTGTTCTCCCTCCCTCCTCTCCTCCCTCAGGTGTTCTTTCATGCTGTTCCTCACGCTGTTCTCCCTCCCTCCTCTCGTCCCTCAG